CCTCCTCTAATGTATAGCTATTACTGTTGTTGTCATCAAATCTCAAACTAATGGTTGCATTCATTTGATTGTCGACTCCTTTTGGTCTCCATTTGATTGCAATATAAATGCTTTGTTTCGATGAATTCACGCCATATATCAACAAATCCTCGCTTTTGTCCTAATCATTTTAAAATATTAAAATTCATTAATGTTTAGCTAAAATATAAACCCCTCACCAAAACTCATAAAATCTACATGTGTTAGAGTTGAGGTAGATCAATTAAAATTTATTTAGTAACGAGTTTTTTTGGCATCAATATTTTGTATGAGAAGTTCATAATTCAAGAAATTGTTCATTAAGTTTCTGAATATAATAAAATAGACTTATATAACTAAATAACTCTTAATTGAATTTTATTTAATATTATTATTTATTTTAAGATTTAATTAGTATTTCTAATTAATAAATCTATTTCAATTTTAAAATTTTTAACCATATAAAAATGATTATAAATTCATTTAAAATATTAATCCCATACCTGTGAAGGCATATCATAGTGCCACTCATGAGGAAATGGTAACATTCCTGAGTCGTGGACATCATCTTTCCAGACATCATGTGTTGTGACTCTATTGGTCTTGTATTTCAATCTTCTGGACCACAGTTCCCACAATTCACTCAAATATTGAAACCATTTGCCATTAATCTCATGATTAAGTTTTAACAATTTATTGACATATATTGTAATAACCGGGATCGACAATAATAGTCCCATAATTGATCTCAAATTGTTAACTTTCTTGAGGAAATTACTGTTAAGATGACATGAGCTTTAAATATCATTTTATAACTGATCTGTTTCTATCAAATTAATTGTTTTGAACTTATATCGGGTAAAGTTTTTAAGTTTATTAAGTTCATATTTTATCAATAATTATTAGCACACATTATGTCTAAATCAATACAATAATTATGATAAAAGTTGAAAATATGTTTCATCCTTGTACTTTGCATTTACATTGTTTTTACAACAAAGCAATTTATTACATAATTACAATAACAGTCAACTAATTTCACAACTTTTAATCTGCATTCATACCTATAGTAAACTGATAGCTAAGTTTACAACCAATTAAATTTTTTAGACTCGTGAGGCCGTTTTAAACAATTTTACACGCTTTAGTACATAAAATTATGCACTCTAGAATTCTGTAGAAATATATCCCATTAGAATGTACTGGTTGATTTTTGTACTTATAGTGCAATTTATTTATGAGAGTTATAATATGTGAACAGTATATTTAATACCTTTTATTTCATTTAGTAGAGCCATTAAGTACTATGGGTTGACATAATACATTTATTTAAGATATTTCAAAATTGATTATAAATAATTTTTTGTAGTAAGTATTCAAAGTTGTAAATCTTTTATTGTATTAAAGAAAATTTTAATAATTATACAATTGTATAATGCTATGTTTTATGCTATATTGCCAATAGATTTACTGGATTTTAGTGATGGTTGAGCTCTGAGTATCCAAAACACAAATATCTCCGGTTTTGAAGGCACGACACGCGCCCTCCACTGCTATCAGACACGGGATTCCGTATTCTCTGGCAATGACTGCCCCGTGAGATATGGTTCCACCGATTTCTGTGATAATACCCGACAGTAGAGGGAAGTATGGACTCCAACCGATGTCTGTCGAGTATGTGATCAGTATATCTCCCGGCTATTCATTATAAATGTCAAATATTATTATTAATTAGATTAACTCAACTTAATATTAACAGAATTCCTAAATACCTGAATATTGTCAGCTTCTGTGATATCCTCAGAGACACAAACTCTTGCTTTTATGGATCCATTACTAACAGGAGTTCCCTTCATCTGAACCATACCTGTGCCCAGATTTGGAGGAATAATGCGATCTTCAAACTGTGGATAAGTAATCATTCAATTAAAATGTTATTTAATAAAGATATTAAATAATTGCTACATTTCTCGGCTTCATTTCTGGTCCTTTAATAAACTCTTGAAACTTGTATTTATCCATTTTTGGGTAAAGCCTTTTCCGGTGTCTAACTCTCGCAAGAATTAATGGATCTCTGTCTCCATTACAGAGCGCTTCCACTTCAGTGACGGTTAAGTAGAAGAATGATTCGGCGGAAGGGATGAGTCCTTCGTTAACCATTTGTTTCGATAATAATCTAAAGCCTTGTCGGTACTGATTATTCATCCAAATCAAGAAGTATTTGGAGAGTTCCCTATACCCCACCCCACGTCTACACCACGGAAGCAGTAGTTTATGAATCAATAATCTCCTCCAATAGGAGAGTGGAGTCTTGAGTTCACTGACCACTTGATCCACAGATTTTTCAACCTTTGGTTCTAATTGTGATTCATTTCCGCTTAACATTCCCTAAAATGTAATCAATGGGTAAAGCCTTTTCCGGTGTCTAACTCTCGCAAGAATTAAGGGATCTCTGTCTCCATTACAGAGCGCTTCCACTTCAGTGACGGTTAAGTAGAAGAATGATTCGGCGGAAGGTATGAGTCCTTCCCTAACCATCTGTTCGGCCAAATACCAGAAGCCTTCTCTCAGTTTGTTATTCAACCAAATCATGAAATATTTGGATATTTCTCTGTATCCGATACCGCGTTGAGTATACGGAAGGATTAGTTTTTTAAGAAGTAATCTCTTTATTGGTGTCAATGGAGTCTTGAGTTCTTCAATCAATCGGTCCACAGATTTACCAACTTTTGCCTCCAATTGTTTCTCACTTCCTGATAGCATAGTCTAAATCAATATATAAATAATAATTAAATTTAAGTTTTCAATATTTTTAATTACTAAACGGTACTTTAATTGTTTTAATGCAAGGAATGGGGTTTCCTTTCCATGGTTTATACATGGGATCCAATTCACGATACCCTCTGTGACCGTGTCTTTCGAGAAATTGTTTGAATTTAAGAGACGACTCATCGGTTCCCTTATATAACACTTGCAGCGCCTCCTCGTCTGACAATTGTCTGAATGTTTGCTTATCTTTGATAGACTTCGCGATATCTCTCAAACTGTTGGGCACTTCAGCGCTAATCACATCATTACACGAAGAGATCATTTCATTGAGGTCTGCGTCCAGTTCTGGATTATCCTCTTAAAATCATATTAAATAAATAAATTAAATACTTGTATAATTAATTAAATGTACAATCAAATGCTCACTCATAGCCCCCTGAAGAGTAGCCTTAAGAATAGCATTTTTTAGGGACGAGCCCATAGAGACGGGGCCGTGGTTTTCAAATGCAGTGTTGGATATAATGTGATAGTTGTCGAGAATTTCCTTATAAATAGCCTTTGAGTTCGAGAATTGTCTCAAAATGTTGACCAAATCGTATTTCTTTTCTTCCATAAAAAGACTCTTAGTTTTCAGTAGATTTTTGGGACCAAACAGGAGGGCATTGATTATGAAGTAAAATGTCCGCACTTTTCCCACGAATGAAGAGCTCGCTCTCTCCAGACGTTTCACTTTAAAAGACTTTAAAACGTCTTCATCATCGATGTGATGCCCAAACATCGCTAAAACCATTTGTTGGGCCTGTTTTGACTCGGGGTAGTCCGCAAAGAAGTCCATCTTTCCCTATTATTAACAGTAAATACCATTTTTGAATATTTTTTATAATTATGTAATTGGTGAGACTAACGTTGGTCATATTAAACATCACTTGATTGTACTGAACGCCCATTGACTCGACAAACGGATTGTAATCGTCGGCTGAGAAACTGCCCCGAGATATGCCCTGACGCTAGACATTGGATATAGAAATTAATTGAAAGTTTTATGGCTATAATTCATTTTACCAAAAAAGTGCTTTTATTGGACCAAAACCACTGCAACACAATCCAAGACGAGGCGCCGGGAAAGTTTTCGCCCCAATGGGCCCGGGAGTAGATCTCAAACTCTGTTTGGTGAGGAGTGTCCAACTCATGCATAATCTCGTAGTCGGTGTAAGAGTTGTCTAAATTAGTTACGGGTCTCGACT